TCTGTCTTTGTCTCTGTCTGTCTCTGTCTTTGTCTCTGTCTGTCTCTGTCTCTGTCTCTGTCTCTGTCTCTATCTCTATATTTGTCTCTGTCTATATTTGTCTTTATATGTGTCTTTATATTTGTCTTTATATTTGTTGTCTCTGTCTCTATCTTTGTTTAAACCTCTATCTTTGTTTTCATATTTGTCTCTGTCTCTTTTTCTGTCTTTGTTTGTCTCCTTAACTGTAATGAATAACAGAAGGCGTTGTCTGTGCATGGGTTTAGGGTTTAGGGTTTAGGGTTTAGGGTTTAGGGCATAGGGTTTAGGGTTTAGGGTTTAGGGTTTAGGGTTTAGGGTTTAGGGTTTGTATTAGAGTAATAACTCAGCCTTTAAAATTCTTTCTTTGGGGCTTTTTGTTTTTTTTGCATGCCTTAGCGAGCGCTGCTGGGGATCGGGTATCGACTTAGGGTTTAGGGTTTAGGGTTTAGGGTTTAGGGTTTATAGCGGCATTGTTAGGGGTTGCTGTTTAAGTTTAACTTTTTAAATTCATTTTGAAGGTGAAGGCTTCGAAATGTGTGGGTTTAGAGTTCAGGCTTCGTACGCATCCATTTAGGGTTTAGGGTTTAGGGTTTAGGGTTTAGGGTTTAGGGTTTAGCTTTGGGGCTCTAGGAATTCTTTTGCAGAGCTGCATTTGTCTTTCTTCGCACACATAATTAGTTTTTTATTTTTAAACAAATAAATAATAAACAAAACAAACACCAGCTCTATCCTGGCTCTATAATCCTAAACCCTAAACCCTAAACCCTAAACCCTAACGCATGCGGAAGGGGCCTCGCATATTTGAGCGGGTTATTACTGGATTTGTTTAGGGTTTAGGGTTTAGAGTTTAGGGTTTAGGGTTACTGGGCGTTTGCAGATGCCTTTAGGGTTTAGGGTTTATAACTGTTTAGGGTTTATAGCTGTATAGGGTTTGTTAGGGTTTAGGGTTTAGGGTTTAGGGTTTAGGGCCTGCATTTGCAGTGCCTCTGGGGGCCTCGGAGCAGCACCCTCCACTCAGCAAGGAGACAAACAAAACGCAAAAAAGAGAGGAGACCCTCAGCTGCAATGCCTGGCCCCAGCTGCTGCAGTTGCTGCTGCAGCAGCTGCAGCAGAAGCCACAGCAGCAGCAGCAGCAGCAGCATTTTGCCGGTGTTGAAAGGGTCTTCTCTTTCTTCTGTGCTCTGTTCGCGAGGCAGCAGCAGAGAGAGGGGGTTTATCTCCTCTAAAGCACCCGAACGGTCTCTACAAGCAGCAGCAGCAGCAGCAGCAACAGCAGCAGCAGCAGCAGCAGCAGCAGGGGCGAGGCCTAATGTGGGGTTTTCTCGTTTACTTTTGAATTCTTCTGTCTCTGCGCATGCACTCGCGGGTCGCCGTTTGGGGCTGTTGAGACTCTTCCCGCAGCAGCAGCAGCAGCAGCAGCAGCGTTATCTGCAGCAGCAACGTTATCTGCAGCAGCAGCGCCAACTGCAGCAGCAGCAGCAGCAGCATGCTGCTGCACGCCTTCACCTCCCTACGTCTCTCAATTGGCATCGTCTGGGTTTATTCCGAGCCCCACCACAATCATCATCATCAGCAGCAGCAGCAGCAGCAGCTGCTGCTGCTGCAGCAATAAGAACAGCAGCATGCCCAGCAGCAGCATCATCAACATCATCAGCCAGAGCAGCAGCACCATATACAGCAGCACCATATGCAGCATCGCAGCAGCACTATATACAGCAGCACCATATGCAGCATCAACAAGTGCAGCATCAGCAAGTGCAGCAGCAGCAGCAGCAGCAGCAGCAGCAGCAGCAGCAGCAGGAACAGCAGCAGGAGTCACTGGGATGACGGGTAGATGTGTGGGGTGTATCCGGAGGTTTGGAGGCCGAGCAGGCGGTTTAAAGAGACACAAAAGAAAGCGCGATGCGGGGAGGCTGCAGCAGATAGGCAAGGGCAGACGTCTTGAGTTCTTTTGGTCGAGAAAGCAGCATTTGCTGCGGCTGCCTTTGCTGCAGACATCGAGAGCTTCATTAGTTTATGATATGCGAATGAGACGCTTCTTATGCTGCTGGGTTTCACATAAACAGCAGGTTTATAGAGCCTTCAGCAGCAGAAGTAGAGCAGCAGGAAGAGATAAAGGGCGTAGTATTGCTGCTGCAGGATCTGCAATAGGTTTGCTGCAGGCAGGAGGCTTTGAAGCAGCAAGAGCAAAAGCGTTGCTGCTGCTGCGACAGCTGCAGCAGCAACGCAAGCTGCAGCAAGACTTCAGCAGCAGCAGCAGCAGCAAACCGGAGATTAATCGAAGCGGTGTTAGCGGTGTCTTCTTTGATGCTGATGAACGCATGTGGGTAGCTGTGTGGCAGGAAGCAGGTATAAGACGCTTCAGAAGCTTTTCTGTTGCTGCTCTCGGCTTTGCTGCTGCTTATAATGCTGCTGTTCAAACGCGCAAAGATAAACTCAAACTCAATTACCGATTCTGCATGCCTAAATACAGAAAAAGATCAGGCAGACAGCCCCTCAAATAATACCTCAAACTGCTGCTGCTGCAGCAACTGCTGCTGCTGCTGCTGCTGCAGCTGCTGCTCTCGGCTTTGCTGCTGCTTATAATGCTGCTGTTCAAACGCGCAAAGATAAACTCAAACTCAATTACCGATTCTGCATGCCTAAATACAGAAAAAGATCAGGCAGACAGCCCCTCAAATAATACCTCAAACTGCTGCTGCTGCAGTTGCTGCTCCCAATGCAGCTGTTGCTGCTATTGTAGCTGTTGCTGTAGCTGCTGCTAAGGCAACTGCTGCTTCTGATGGAGTTGTTTATGCAGCATCTGCTGCTGCTGCAGCAGTTGCTGCTGCAGCAGTTGCTGCTGACCTGTCTGCGGCTTTTAGGTTTTCTTAGCTACGCGCAGCAGCAGAGATATATTAAAATTATTTTTGTCTCTGTTTGTCTCCTCCTGTCTCTCTCTGTCCCCTCTCTCTTTATTTATTTATTTATTTATTTATTTATTTATTTGTGTCTCTGTTTGTCTCTGTCTTTTTCTCTATGTCGCCAACTGCTGCTGCATGCAGCACCGCAAACAGCAGCAGCACAGTAGCAGCACAGCAGCAGCAGATCGCGAAGATAGTTAGACCTAAAGGCCTCCGCTACCAGCTGCTGTTCTCACTGCTGCTGCTGCTGCTGCTGCTGCTGCTTGGCTGGCGCTGCGGTGTACAGACACATCGGCAGGGTTTATTTCAATAGCCCCTAGGCTTTAGCTTACTGCTCTAGCTAGCTAGCTAGCTACAAAGGCATCTAGGACCAGCTAACTGGCTAGCTACACAGGCATGTGGCGCTAGCTAGCTAGCTAGCTAGCTAGAAAAGCATACGGTGGTAGCTAGCTGTATAAAGACTTAAAGAAAAAGTTTGCAGCTGGTTTGTATTGACGGGCCTTGCTGCGGTGTCTGTACACCGCAGAATTTCAGAAGGGAGCAGCAGCAACAAACAGCTGTTGGTGCTGCAGCTTCTGCTGCAGCTGCTGTTGCTGCTGCTACTGCTGCAGCAGCCAGATCTTGCTGCTGCAGAGCTTGCTTTAGCTGTTGTTGCTGCTGCTAGTGCTGCAGCAGCAGCCAGCCCTTGCTGCCGCAGGCATTGCTTTCGCTGCTACTTCTGCTGCAGCTTCTGCTGCTGCTTCTGCTGCTGCTGCTGCTGCCTAGAATCTGTAGGCAGCAAGCAGCAGCAGCAGCGGGAGTAGGATGATACCTCCTGCTGGCAGCAGCAGCAAATCAGGTTTTCCTCGGTAGATGATAAGCCTAGGTATTGCAACAGCTAGGGCAAGTGCAGCAGCAGCAGCAGATCCTGTCAGCAGCAGCAGCAGCTCCAGCCGCTGCAGCAGCCTTACTGCATGCACAATTGCACCATGTGCTGCAGGGTGCAGCGCAACCTCAACAGGTATTGACAGCACAGCAAGAGACTTTGAACGAGGAGGCAGCAGCCGCATGCCTAACATGCTGCTGCTGCTGCTGCTGCTGCTGTTGGTGGTCGTGCTGCTGCTGCATTGCTTGGTGCTGCTGTTCTTACAGATCCTCCAGAGGCTCAAACGACGAGGAGATCGTTGCTGCAGCTGCTGCTGCAGTCGCTGCTGCTGCTGCTGCTGCAGTCGCTGCTGCTGCCGCTGCTGCTGCTGGCTGTTACGGCCCTGCCAGCTAAAAAAAGCAGGGGGGCGTCTCGCTGCAGAAAGAGAGACACAACTCTTCTCTGCTGCTGCTGCTGCTGCTGTTGCTGTTGCTGCTGCTGCTGCTGCAGTTCTGCCATCCCCCAATACTTTTGCTGCACATTTGAAGCAGCAAAAAGACAGAGTGCAGAGCACAAAGACAACTGAAGCAAAACGAAGGCGCATTTCTATTAACCACAACCTGCTGCAGCTGCTGGTAGCAGCAGCAGCAACAGCAGCAGCACCAGAGCGGCAGTGTCTCAGCGTCTGATAAACGAATGGAAGCTGCGGTGAGAGGGAGTGTAAACAGAGCTGCTGTCGCTGTTGCTGTTGCTGTTGCTGCTGTTGCTGCTGCTGCTGTTGCTGCAGGTAACACTGCGGTTGTTGCTGCTCCCGTCGCTGTTGCAGCTGCTGTTGCTGCTGCCGTTTCTGCTGCTGTTGCAGCTGCTGCTGC